TATATACAGTGTTTTGGTGTTTTAGAAGATTGGTTGACTTAGGCTAGGAGTGCATTTCACTTAAATGAAAAAAAAATCAAAATTTGTGCACTGGCGCCTAAGCACCAAAACCCGCGCTTAGGCGCTGCCTAAACAAAAAAAAAATTATATACCTCTTATACTAAATTAAATTTACAAAAATTATTTTCAACATTAAAAAGTTGACCAACATCTCTTCATTAAACTCCTTTCTTTGGTAACTTTTTGAACCATGTGCACTATAGAAGATAACATTTCAGGTTGCTTCTTCTCATTAGTAAGGACTTAATGTTGTTGAGGAAAAAAAAATTTGTTTGATGTCACCAACATAACCATTCATATTAACCCATTATTTTTCGAGGTGTAATATTTGCGGTATCGAGCAGGATTATGCAAACTATGACTAATGAGATTCATTCAGTCTCATTTTCTAAAAATTAAAACACCACCATTTTACTAAGGTTGTTGAAACTTGAGTAAGAGAAGAGATAAGAGGAAGAAAATAGTATGTGCACTGGTTTGAGACCATAGAAGATTGGTTGACTTAGGCTAGGAGTGCATTTCACTTAAATGAAAAAAAAATCAAAATTTGTGCACTGGCGCCTAAGCACCAAAACCCGCGCTTAGGCGCTGCCTAAACAAAAAAAAAATTATATACCTCTTATACTAAATTAAATTTACAAAAATTATTTTCAACATTAAAAAGTTGACCGACATCTCTTCATTAAACTCCTTTCTTTGGTAACTTTTTGAACCATATGCACTATAGAAGATAACATTTCAGGTTGCTTCTTCTCATTAGTAAGGACTTAATGTTGTTGAGGAAAAAAAAATTTGTTTGATGTCACCAACATAACCATTCATATTAACCCATGTTAGACTTTTGGATTGGTTGAGGATATGAATACTCGCTTTTGGGATTGAAGCATATTGAATGATCAATAGCTCGAGCAATAGTTGATAAGCTCATAGTTTAATATTTCTCTTTCTTCTTTGCCTTTTAGAAAGTTTTCTTCTAAACGAGGAAACTTCAATATCACGCCTTCCACTTTCTTTCATATGTAAACTATAAATGCACAATATGAGAATACTTTAGCAGACTGATGCCTCCTAATGTTGCTTTAAACAGATATAACAATGGTTTTAGCATCAACGACGAGAATTTCTACACCATCAAATTGGATAGTGCCTATGAATAGTAAAATGGGAAGATTATTCTCATCTTTAGAGACCAAGAGAACTCTTCAAGATGTCGATCATCGTAATAATTACTAGTAGGTATATATTTTCTCCAAAAATCCAAACTTGATAAATAGCTTTTCATTTACACTTTTAAAGTTGAATATCATATTTCATATCCTTAGCTTGTCAAAACAAAATTTTATCATGAGTAGTATTAATCTTCAAACATATACTTTCTGCTGGGACCCCCAATATTGAATGCTTAGACATAAAATGTATATCCCAATGCTCACCTTGCAAGGCATATTTTTCTACTGAAACCTTTCAATAGTAGACACTTGGATTATGATTCAACAGTCACCCTCCGATGCCTATCAAACAATATTTATCTTTTTTTAGGACGTTTCAGTAGTAGATTTCAGGATAAAAATTCACGGGTCATACCCCGATGTCCACCATACAGTTTATATTTTTTTGGGGACCTTTTGATGACAGATTATTAGATTAAGATCCAAGGGTTATGCTTCGATGCACACCAAACAATTTCTCTTCTGTCGGGACCTTTCAATAGTAAATTCTAAGATTAAGATCTAAGGTTCATACCTCAATGTTCACCAAACATAGTTTATCTTTTTGTTATCACCCTTTCGATAGCAAATTCTTAGATTTATCCTTCAATACTCAGAAGACAATTTCTCTTTCTGTTGGGATATTACAAAAGTAGATGCTTGGATTAAGATTCAAGGGTTCATACCTCGATGTTCACCAAACAAAATTCATCTTTTTGTTAGACCCATTTGACAACAGATTCTTGGATTAAGATCTAAGGGTTATGCATTGATGCTCACAATATAAAATTAGTCTTTCAGTTGGGATTTTTCGATAATAAATTCCCAAATTAAGATCCAATAGTTTGCCTCGATGCCCACCAAACTTAATTTACCCAAGTTTATGAGTAATTATATATATGAAAGCAATTTAGCTTGTTATTCATCTTTCATCACTTTTAAGTTATTATTATAGCGAATATATAGCTAGTAAAAATGAAAAGAGAAATACTTTCTAGTGTAGTTGCCAGAAATCAGTAAGCTCCAAATATCTGACGTCCAGGACTCGTTTGTTGTTGAGAGCATTTTTGTTAGCTATTTCAGGTCAAAATTTCAAAAGGCAAACTAAATTGTAGCTAAGACACTACCCAGAGATTTTGCCTTCATTTTGTAAGGAATTTTTTATTTGAGGTTCACGGTTTCTAATACACACAAGCCCTTATGATTAATTACTCCTCCTGAGAACAAGAGAACACTTTTGATTAAGGCTAATTATTTAGCTTTAAATATTCAGTGTATAGTAGCAGCAAACTTAAGAGTTTTAGATTATAAAATTTATCACATTGAGCTTACAGCGGATGGTGGAGGAAATAATTACAAACCTGATCAAGGTCCTATAGTTCTGTTGTCACGGATCGTCGTGATCCCTGATCTACTTAGTCAAAAGAAGTAGTTAACCCAAGCTAACTATAGGATCCTTGTCAGCAACTATGGGTTGTGTTGTCCAAAGGAGCCCTGTAAATGTGGGGTGGATGCTTGTCTAAGAGGATGAATTTAAGTCGACCTTAGCTGACATATGACTTATGTTAATCAATTGTATTCTTATGGTTCACAACTCAAATAGTAGAAAGACATTAAGGAACATACGGGTTGTAAGTGTAATATATGATGTCATTTGAGAAAACCACTTGATCAGAATGCTTTGATCATAACAATTATTATTTTTTGTGGAGTCATGGGGTCAAACCAAGCAAACAGAGAACTAGGGTCACCTCCTTACTTGCATGAGATTGCATTTAGTATGACTATAGTGATAGACCCGAGGTGGCATTCATTCTTTCTGAGTTGCAGTCAACAAAAAAATACAACCCTCAATAAACTGTTGCAAATAATGGATGGAGTTTGCTTTAATTTTAAGTGATAGATTTTAACTTGAATATTTTGATTTATTTATTTTAAGATTTTAGGTTTTTGATTTTAACTTGATTGTCTTGATTTATTATTTTAATTAATTGATTTAAAAATTGATCCCACTAGTTGAGATTTTCAGTCAACATGACCATCATTGAGGATTTGATTACTTGACTTGAACAATGTCGATTTTACATCTTACTTCTAAATGATCAGGCTTAAGATTGACATATCATTATATATGAAATTTGCCAACTCTCTGCTTATTGAAGATTGAAATTAGAAATTACAATAGTTGGATTTATTTAGTTATTTGTTAAAATTTGATTTTTAAAATAGACCTTTCCGGTTGAAATCTTTTATCACCTCAGCTATCATGAGAATTTGATTGTTTGATTTGAACTTTGTAAATTTTACGTTTTGCTCGTAAAACATTGAATATAGTATTGACATACAATTATATTTTAACATTGTCAACTATGTCTTACTTGCACAGGATTTTATTCATAGTTTATATCATTTGAGCTTATCATGTCTCCAATATCATCATAAATAGGAATCTACTCTTTCAAATTCAAACTAAACCCATAATTAACACTTATCTCCATAGCCACTACAAGACCTTAACTTCACCTCTTAATTCCTAAATCCTAGAATAGCACTTCCTGGTTTTAGCTTCACTTCTCCAACACATCATAAACTCTAACCATATCTTCTTAGCTTCAGCCAAGACATCTACCACACTAAAGCCTACTGTTAAAAAAAAAAAAAAGCAATAATAGCGTTTGGCCACTCAAAGAACAATAAACCTTTGCTTCAACAACTCAAAACAACCTCCAATATTCTCTCCATTTCTGTAATATCATCACAAATAAGATGAATCTTCCATCTCCAAAAAAATTCCATAACATAACCGCAGTTGTGTTGCCAGCATGGCATCACATAAATAATTTTTTTCCTCATCATTAGCATTATCACAACAAAAATCTTTTAAGTCAAACCAGCCAAATAAGGTTAAGAGTGTTTATCCAGAGAAAGCAAAGACCATATATTTTCACGCTCCATACGATTCAATGTTTATAAACATGAGACACAAGCGCTTATGGTCGCATATGCGAGGCAGAACTAGGCCATAGTACCTTTAACACATCCTGGACGAGCTCCATTATTAAGAACATGTGTAGGCAAGTGTCTTCCCTTCAGGTCCCTAGAAATGAGGTGAACATTTTGCCTTAATTGGCGTGAAGGCTACAAATACTTCAAATACCAAAAATGAGTTATTTTTTTTGTAATGATAATTTGACATGTGATTACATGAAAATAGCATCAACTGTTGAATATTCAAGGTTGCACAATACAAGTTTAGACGAATGGTAAGTAAAAGCATTTCAAGATCCAAAGCAATAAATTATGAGGGCAAAAAACATTAATGAAATAAGATACAGAAAAGTATGGATGGGTACCATATAGTGATGAAGAACATGGAATAATAGATTATAGAATCCTAAGCTAGATCCGTCAAAATAATTAATAAGTTAAATGTACTTTTAAAAGATAATTATAAAAAAAAAAATCGAAGTTGGAATGAACGGTAACTGAATTTTCTCCCCACCTATCATGTTTTAAAGTGATGAGTACTTTTTATGCCTTCAAAACTATTCCTTACGAAAATTATTTTATGAAGCGATATAATTAGTTCTTTTTAATGCCCCACTTTCATCAAAAACGACCTTAGGTTGCATCTAGCACCAAGGGCTTTAGAAAGCTACATCTCCCCTAACGTTGCCTACTACTTATTCACAGCACTGATGTTCTATATCAAAAAATAAACACTTCACCTACTTGTCATGATTTGGTGTAGAATGATTTTCCACAATATCACCATAGTGTGGAGCCAGATCCTCCGGCTCAGAATCATAACTCTCACCATCCCAAAGTTTACATGCTGGCCTCTGATCCATATCCACCTCTTCCTGCATCAAGTCACATATTTAGTTCATCGCATAATGCATGATGTTGATAAAATAATTGCTTTAAGTTCAATATTGCTTAAAATTACCTCCTCAGGAGACTCTGTTTTTGGTGGTCTATCCTGGAACGGAACACTAGGGGAATGTTGCAGTCTTGAAAGATGCTCCAATAGCACATTCCTGCATAAGAAAAAAAGAACTGGAGATCACAAAGAACTTATCACTCAAAAAAATTCCTGTAATGAGAATTTTAATGGCACATAATTATCAAATATGGACAAAGGTGACCAATTTTACAGCTCTTAGAATTATATTTCTCTCTCTCTCTATTTATTTTATTTATGTTTTTGTATTGAGCGTATAAAGTTAATTAAGTCAAAACAAACTACTAGTCAAGCTAACCACCCTAAGCCATTTCATCTTTTTCTTTAAGCAACTCGGAAATAAATATTGGAAATCGAATATGACATTGTTCTAGAGTTCGTAGAAGGTGTTTTGAGGATTGAACCTAGAGCTCAGATGTTAGAGAATGAAGAGAAGAAGAGAATACGTCGGGTTCATGAAGTTAGAAAGATGAAATGGTAGTTGCAGCAGCTGTCTTGAACGAAGACAGTATGAAGCATGCGGGCTAGCATGGATGCCAAGGAAGATCCACCACCTAGTCTTGAACAAGATAGGAAACACCAGCTTTTAGACAGGGCTTTCTGAAATCTGTGTTTAAAAGCTGCTATGGAAAATTTATTTTTTAAAAGTTGGTGTTTCAGAAACAGTTGAACTTTTTTAAAAAATTTAGTTTTAAAAATGTTGTATGTTGATAAATATTTGAAATACCCCTTGTTGACCTCATTTTCAGTGAGGTCTTAGTCTCCTACTCCTAAAACCCATGATCTAGCTTTAGGAGTTCTTTATTGACCATCCTAGCAGACTAGTAATTGAGCCCACCTTTCATAAAACTTCGAGCCACTTCTTGACTCATTTTTGTGCAAACCTCGCATGAGTAGCCCCAAGCACTTGACTCTTAGTTGCAAGGGCTAAGGACTAACATGTAGAGGGCCCTAAAATGAGTTCCCACAGGATTTAGGAGGCCTTAGGTAAACCATTTGTGACTCAAACACTCGCGAACGCCGCAATTTACGCACTCATTGCACCACGCATGATGTTGACTTGAATTGACTTAGACTGTCGGCGAACTTGTCCGGACGACCTCGAATGACGAAACGGACCATGCGGATGCGTCCGGGACATCGACTTTAGCTAAAAAGGCACTCATATCACTATGGTTTCGAATGCAAGCAATCAGAATAAAAATCGATGCTGTTTTTTTTTTAATTAGCTGGCGCAAGCTCAGGCTCAAACCAGGTTCAATTCGGGCTGGACATGGGCTTTGAACCTCGTCTGAACACAAGCCAAAATAGTTTCAATTTTCAAATTTTCAAATTTTAATCTCATCTTAATTAAGAGTTAAGATTTTCCAATTGAGCTGCTGCATCAACGAAATTCATTCAATTCCCCGCCAATGTGTCGCATAACATCTCTCTGGAATTCCCAATATACAAAAAATCGTCTCCCCCTTCCTAAGCTCTAGTCTCCTCATTTGACTCCTTCCTCCTCTTTGCTCAATCACGCCTCCCTCCTCGAGTAGAAGAAGCCACACTCAAGACCCTCTATCGCACTCACCTGCTTTCCTCCCTGCGCCAAAGTCACCCGCTCGCCTACTCGCCTCCTCCCTGTGCCGAAGAAACCCACTCGTCTGTTCGATCCTGCCTCCTGTGCCAAATCCCTCACTCTTCTTCTCCCGCTCGCCTCCTCTCCTCTGTAACCAAATTCCCTAGCCTCTTCCTCGCTCGAGAGAAACCCCCGCTCCTCTCTGCGAACCGAAGCTCTCGTCTCCCCTCCTCGCGCCGAAGCCCTCGCCTCCTCCCTCTACGCAAAAACCTCTGCTCGGCTCCCACTCAACTGAAATCCCCACCTGTTTCGCCTCCTCGCTCTCCTCTCCTCTGCATGGAAGCCTTTCTCCCGCTCGGCTTCATCTTTCATGCTCGGCTTCGCCTCTCCTGTCGGGTCTCCTACCCGCGCCCGAAACTCTCGTCGCCTTTCCTGCTCGGCTCAACCACTCGATCAAAACCCCAGCGATACACTCGTGATTAGAGTTAGCTGGGAAAGCAACCATGGGATCGCCGCATGTAAGGCCTTCAAAACTCCCATATTTCACCTGTTTCAACAGCTCCCCCATCTGAAACCATCGAGGAAGTGCTCCCCTATCCTCTTTGCACAGTTGCAGGTATATTTTCTGAGAGTGTCCAGAACTCCCTTGTCCTTTTATTTATTTTTTTTATTTTTAATTAAAAATCTGTTGTCATTGATAATTGAGTGTATAGCCTAATTCTGTCAATCCTTTTTCTCATATAAGACAATTTCATCTGTTCTTCTATTGAAACATGATATAGTTCTTCATTCTAGAAAATCGTTGTTCTAAATTATGTAGTTTACGAAGGCTTTTGTGATTTACCTTGATTGGAAAAATATAACATGGATACAAAATGATTCTAGTCATATTAATGCAACTAGTAGCAAATGTTTACTGCATTCCATCGGGTAAGCGTCGATCATTCTTGTATATTCATGTGTTTGGCGTCGATCATTGGAGAACTATAAATGTTGCTTTGGCCATACATTCTTACTGATTTTGGAAAACTATAAACACTATTTTGATTATATGTTATTGTTGATTTTAAATACTCTGTTGTTGGTTTTATGTTTCAAGCACTTAAATACAAATACATTGAGATTCCAATGACCATTTACTTATTGATTTTAAATATTCCGTTGTTGGTTTTATGTTTCAAGCAGTTAAATGCAAACATTGTGATTCCAATGACCATTTACTTGCCAATTTTAAATGCTTTGTTGCTGGTTTTATGTTTCAAGCATTTAAATGCAAAAATTGTGAGGTCCCAATGACCATTTACTTGCTGATTTTGAATGATGCGTTGCTGGTTTTATATTTCAAGCACTTAAATACAAACATTGTGAGGTTCCAATGACCATTTACTTGTTGATCTTAAATACACATTTGTTGATTTTGTGCTTTGAGCACTCAAACGGGAATACTACGAAACTCGAGATGATCGTTATTCCAGGGCTTAAATGCTTCTTTGCGGGTCTATGTTCTTTTATTTCTGGATGCCTCCCTTGGGGGGCTTGTTTTACCTGTTGTTTCGAGGGTTTAAAAATTGCGATTTTGAGGGCTTTGCCTACCGATTCACGTAGTGTTTTGGAGTCAGCTTGTTAATTGATTTTGAAAAGTTTACACACTGTTTTGGGTTGACTTTCCTAGCTGATTTTGGGACATTTAAAATTGATGCTTTGGGTTTACATGAGAGCACTTTGGGAATTTTAAAAGTGTTGTTTGGGGTCTTACATGAGAGCTTTTTTTTTTGGAATTTTAAAATTTTTTTTTGGGGCATTTTAAGAGTGTTGTTTGGTGGCCTGTTTAAGGCTTTAAAAGTATTGTTGTAGGATGCAATTTTTGGTTCCATTTCGTGACTTTTAGGCTACACTTTTTAAGTCTATTTGGTGTTTTAGGGGCTTCTTTTTTTTATACTGAGTTGGAAAACTTTCGGGCCCATCAAAACACAACCTTGTAATAAATTTAAGCACTCTTCTCAAAGGCCGATTTAATTACAATTTTGAAAGAGTTTAAATACTTTTAGACTAATTCACTTGTTATTTTGTCCCTTAGCTTTGCTAGTTTTGGAAATGGGTTGGTTTTCTCATTTCTTTTGGTTTGTTTAATTTCTCTTGCTTAATGGTTAAGCAAAATAAGAGAATTTCTGATTTAATTATTTGGAAGACACTTAAACATAATTGAGGATTAGTTGGAAAACACTTAATTAAGGGTAAAACACCTTAAATCACTACAAGCTCAAGTTATAAGCATAATCTTTCCTAAATTTTAGGAACACACCCTAAGTGAGAGTTCATTTATTTAGTTTTCAAATGAATGATGAAACTAATCACTTGCATTAATCCACGAATCGATTAAAATACTAGACACAAGGATGCACCAAGATATGTTTAACGACTTCCTTGATTAAATCAAATAGTGAAACTCCCGCAATGACTTAACCTACAGTGAAACACAATGCACCGAGATTTGAGCTTGAACATTACACTCAAACTCTCATGGCAATTGGAGACATTTGTTAAAGTCACATATAGATCACAGAACTAGAATAAATCTAGGGTCTAGGTGGCGAGGGCGATGACGACATTGCTTATGTGTGATTAAACGAGGGGTACGAAGTGAGATTATTAGAATAGTATCTTATACCTCAAGTACCTTTAATAAGGGAGAGGAAATGACCGATGATACTATTTGCCGACTCTTGGAGGGATTGTTGCCCCTGACAATCTTAGGTTGCCAATAGTTCTAGCACGATTAGAGTGACTAGCCTGTGGACTACATAACTTTATAAAATATTTATAAAAAATAAAACAAAATCTCTTCTACATGTTAAAAAGAACTCTGCATAAAAAAAAATTTGAACATCTTTTGCATGAAAATCAAAGAATTTTTTTTTATGAAAACTCATAAAAGCCTATGGTTACTCATTTGAATCGAGGTTAAGGATTGTCCTCCGTAGATTGTCGGGTAGGTAGCTCTTGTACAAGGTCGGGAAGCACACAGTCCAGCTCTGAGCCCCCACTCAATGCCTTACACCCAGACCTGGTCTTCCATATGTGACTACGAATTTCTTTTGCTAGTTATTTCCACGACTCGATTTTTTTTTCTGACTTTCGTGCTGAGTTTGCTCGTTTTACTTACTTTCCCCGCAAGTTTATTTAAATTTCTTGCAAATATATTCTACTTTAGGAGCTAGCCACACAGTAAAAACAACAACAGCAGATACGTCAGGTATTGTTTTTTTTATTATCATAATTTAATATTGTTTTAATATATATCACGCATGTCTGGTTGCAATTTCGTTTTCAAAGCAAAATCATTTTTCAAAATTAAACAACATTTTCAAAACAAAACAAAAATAACAAAAGAAAAACAAAAAAAAACATAACACGTAATTTTGAATTTACGGGAGCCCCTCGGATGAGGTAACCTCGGTTGGTAACGAGATCTCCCCAGTTTAAATGAGTTTAACAACTCGTTTAAATTAAGTAAATTCAAAAGAAAATAGTGGCATCGGAACGAGGGATCCGTGAAATTCTAACCGGTGTCGCTTTAATCAACTTTAATCCCCTCATAATGCTTGAATGACAAAAAAACCAAAACTTTGGAACACACCTAGTAAAACCAGTAAAACCTTTTGAACCTTATTTTGAACCTTAGACTTTAGGACTGCTATTTCGACGAGGAACTTGGAGTATGCCTAGTGGGTAGCACGAAGAGGACCTGCAGAAGGACATTCTCGAGAGAGCAAACAAGTCTACAACAACAAATCTTTCCTTATGTTAAATAACAACTCATAGGACTTCGAGGTAACTTGCCCAGAGCGACGTAAATCCTCACACTCATTTTAGGCACCTGTGCAACCATGTTGTGCAACGTAAGTTTTAATTCGCTTTAGGTCTTGAGGTTGTCTTTGGTTACGACGTAAACTCTCATCTCTTTGCAGGCTATTTGCATAATCAGGTATTAAGCAAATGTAAGTCTCAAATAATAAAATTGACAGGAGTGAACAATTGAATAACATCATCTCCAAAATGCAGACACACAGTAGGATAGTTTGGAAAGTCACTGAGGGTTCTCCTCAGGGTCTGTGACGTCCCCTATCTTTTCCTTCCTTTAGATTTCTGAAGATAATTGTTACTACTTGAGTCACTCTCACTTGTTTTTCCACGTCCTACCGTGAAAAACTAAACTTTAAATTCTTGAAGAATAATACATCTAATCATTATTGAAAGTTTTCTCAAGTGACCCTTGTCATTTGGGATGTAATTAACTATAAGGCTTGTCTTTATATGAAACTTAGAACCCAGGTAAAATAAACCCTACTTAATTTCTATATTAGGTAGGTCACACATAAAAGGTTCACAGGCCAAACGGATGTCACAAATCTCTTAGTTTGTAGGATTGGGTCCATGACCGAGATACATTATCTTTCGGGAAAGTGCAGCATTCGCGGTATCAGACACGATTATGCAAACCATTAGACTAATGAGATCCATTTGGTCTCATTTTTCCAAAATTAAAATACCCTAATTTGAAAGTCATAACTATATACCTCTAATATTAAATTAAATTTCAAAATTATTTTCAATTTTCAAAAATCACAAAAAGTTGACTGACACCCCTCTGTTCATATTATATAAAATTTTGGAAGAGGAAGACGAGCGAAGATGAAGTGTTAGAAGATAAGGCAATATAGTGTCGGAGACCAAGGCGAGTCAAGGGTACAAACGCAAACCCACAAGGGATTGTTTATTTGCAATCCCCGAAGTGTAGGCCACCTTCCGGCTTAGCAAATGCACACTAATCTGAAACCGCGTTTGGGACCGGTCGACCTAAATGTACGAATCAAACACCCTAAACGTCGGTTGGGATGAAAACAAGATTTTAAAAATCGGAGTTGAAAATGAAACACACCAACATAAGCTTTTCGATTCCCACCACTTGAAACCCCACATTTAACAAAACATAGATTTAACTATTGTTGACCGGAAGCCACATGAAACTTGATTATTTACAAAATCAATACTTGGCCAAAAAAGAGTTATCAAAGTTATTTATGTGTGCCATGTCTAACTTATTGAAGATTTACTGACAGTGTTGTTTAAGATTTTGGTAGTCGCATTGGAAATATTGGTAATTGGGTGTTAATTTTGCAAATAACCTATAAAAAATTAATCCCTAAATGATGTTCCCCACTGCAATTTTTATATAACTTCTATGAAAATTATCATATGGTATCCAGGGATTAAGCATATTAACATCCATGCACCTTATTTCATGTGCCTCTATTTAGAGGCATCTAATTCTCAAAAAGCCATTTTTACCTTATAGCTTAGCCGTATTACAAATTTATGTGCAGGTTTTTTTAAATTGAAAAATCCATGTACAAATGGCACACATAACTGACGCATGATCACAACAAACACTACACTCTATATTAATCAATTCAAATCTGGAAGAAATCAAAAGGATGAAAAACATCAAGCTCATTAAAATAACTTAAAAAATAACAATTTCTCGAGTTAAAATGCGTGGTTGAAACATACCTGATTTTTTCCAGATCGCTCAAGGAGTTTTTATTTTCCATATTTTTTGGTTCTATGTGTAGGGTATAATCAGGGCCAAAGTACTCGTAATATTCACTATAAGGCAACTTATTATCTGGCTCAACTCCAACAGCAACTGCCGTCTGTAGCACCAAGTTGAAATGAACGTCAAGATAAAGATAACGTGCATTAACAACCATGAAAAGTAAAAAATATGATACAAAAAAGGAAAATATACACATGTAGCACACAATTCTTATGCATTTATACATTTCACACCTCAACTTTCATATTTACATGCATAACACTTTCATAATTTAAGCCTATGCACAAAAAGGCGTATCACTTTTAAATGTGATAATAGTGCTATTTTTGATGTGAAATTAAAGATTTGAGTGCTATGTGTGTAAATATGAAAGCTTAGGAGGGATATATGCAAATACATAAAAATTGTATGCTATGTACTACAAAACAAGTATAGATACCTCATAACACCAGCAACGGGCAACATTCCGCATTGTATAGCCGCCGCCGCCCAAAACCATAAGAGGCACATTAAAAGATCTAAGAAATCTTAAGCAATCAGCATGACCCCTCACAGACAAATTGAAGCAACCTAGCCGATCCCCAGCTAACGAATCTGCACCACACTGAAGAACTACAGCATCTGGTTGATATATTTCCATGACCTTCGATATCAGAGGTCTAAATAATCCCTGGAAACTTTCATCATCAATTCCATCATTAAGTGGAACATTTAAAGCATAATATTTTCCAGCTCCAAAGCCAACATCTTTGATATGACCAGTTCCTGGAAAAAAGTCCCCAAATTTATGGAAAGAGACGGTCATGACTCTATCAGTTATATAGAAAGCCTCCTCAACACCATCCCCATGGTGGACATCAATGTCTACATATAGTACACGCTGCATATTTGAATAAATTGCATAAAAACAAGGTGGCTAATCAACATAATTTGCTGATCAAGGTAAAAGAATGTAACTTTAATATCATTATCTGAAAAAGGAAAATGAAGTTAATCCTACAAACTAAAGAAAATGTAGAAGCAGATTGCTTTTGCATAAGTTCTATATTTTAAACCAATTCGATAGTGCTTAAATAATGGCACATAAAAAGAGAGTAAAGTGCAGGTTGCAGTTTCAGTAACACTTTACAGTTCCCCTGACTTCTGAATTATATGGAAGCACTTATTCAGTAAGTTGTGTATTTTCTACGATAAGTGTAACCACGAGGTTCTCTGTTTACTTAAAATCAGTTTTGTACACACTTTTTTCAATGCAATTATCGAGTCATTACCCTTCTTCTTTGCAACACCTAGAGTACTTTAAACACATGTAACTCAGTTGCCTCAATGAACAATGAGTTTAAGACACCATTGTTGAAATTGGTTGTTTTGACATGCCGCCAATTATGATAGATTCATTCTAGCATTTGACTTTAGGACAATGTGGGCTCTGAAAAGGCACAAGAGAATTTAAGTTAGAAAACTTTGTGATTGTTTTGATGAATGGATAACGGACAACTACTTAGTTGAGATTTTATATTAATCAAAGGCCAAGGATTCCCCTGACCTCCAATAAATAATTTTCCTCATGATCATTGAAAAGAATTCACAAGGCTTATGATGACTACTGGCATTTTGTCATAAGTCTAGTAATAGTGACGGCCACTCACTCATTGCAAGTGGAGCAGCTGCAACATCAAACCAAGATATTTCCATCTCCCTGTGATTGAAACCTTCTAGATGTGTGTATATATATATGTATATATGTACATATATATATATATATATATGTATATATGTACATATATATATATGTATATAAGTACAGTAAGTAGAAATATCTGGAAGCTTTGTGTGTGCACACGCATGTGTAGTACTGTTGTTTCTACTATAATATATGGAATGCAGTGGTTCTATTATATGATCCTACTTTTGCTTACAGCTTCTTTGTATATCTAATCTTATTATCGTTTCTCTGCATTTACCCTTTACTTGGTTTCAAAGCTCTTGCTCCACCCCATCCAAGAATTCACGATCCTTGAAATAAAGCACTCAGATATACCCTCTCTGAATGATGGCTCATTTCTCTCAACAAAGGTGAAACCACCATACCATTCTCTCTCAAGTTACTCATGTCCAACATCAAATCCATAGTAAACACCCCCTCTAACTACCGACGACTATCTATATGGAGATCCCAATTGCAAAAAATTGTCAAAGACATTGGGTTTAAAATATTACTCAAAAGGCAACACTCCATGGCACCTAAAGCTATAAATGATCTTTCTACTCACCTCATAGCCAACCCTGCTCACACTCAGTAGATGCTCATGGACCAAAATCCAACAAAATATTGTTCTCCACCATGAGAGCAACAATCTTACGCTAAGTGCTCAACCCGGACACCTGCCATGAAATTTAGAGTGTGATAGCAAAAAAAACTTTGACATGAAATATTTAGGGGTTATTTTATAATGTAATTTAAAGATGAAATTTTGGTGGTATTTTTTATGTGATGCTAAATATGTGAGTGGAATGCACCTAAATATGAACAACTATGCGTTAGATATGTAAATACATCAGACATGTTAGGCATGTGTGTAAATATCCCAGAAATATTTCAGGTATCAGAGTGCAGTCACCTCAAAATTTCCTTTTTATGTATCTTAGGTGGCATGCCTGTTTTTTTGGTATTTAATTCTTTGGTTCTACAGTTACTTGATAGTTGTGAAATTCAAATCTCTTGTGATTCATCTCAAAAATGAGTTGTATAATGTCTCCATGAAGAACCAAATAATGCAATCTCTCATGCAAATCAAGACTGAAATTGCAACATATTCGCAGTCGCATCCAACATAGACAATGAAGATATAATTTTATATATCATCAAGAGCCTACCAACATCACGTCATTCAAAATAGTCATCCGAACGAAATTAACACAAATCAGTTTAGAGCAACATCACTTACTCCTGAGAAGATCAATCTAGCCAATGATCGCAGACATAATCCCGTCCATCAAACCTCAAACTGCTCCACACTCAACTAGGTCCAAGCAGCCTCAACATTCCCAGAGGAAGATGTCATGCCAAACCCCTCATTGTCTGACACATTCTCCTCAACCAAATCGACATCCCAAAAGAACCAACCCCACAACTTGTCAAAAAAGTAACAAACCAGGAGACATAGCCCTTCAATACTTACATTGACTAAATCCAAACTACCAGCCCTCAACCCCATCAGCTACCACTGCCCTTGTAAGATCTTCCTCCCAAGCCAAAGATTGGTGCTTGGACATTGGAATGTCCTCTTACAACTGACCTGGATAACCTGCATCAAGTGGAACCTTATCAAGGAGCTGATCAAATATATGTTAGTGGCAATAACTTCCTCCAAATCAATAGAGAAGACGAGGTATGCTCCCAAAACCAACTTGTAAGCTCCACCTTTTTAAACTTCTACACACTTCTCATATTTCCCAAAAATTAATTTCCATATCACAGCTAGCATATGAAAATAACTGTTATATATGCTTTGACTCTTATAGCTACCAAATCAAGATTTGGAAAACACATCAAACTCTTCTCCACGAACCTTGTCGTAACGAATTCTACCCCATTCTTCATTAAAAGAAAGTTCTATTATCCACTAAATTATCTACAAAAGTCAATATCACCATTGCCTAGGTCACGCCAACCACCAAACCACTGCTAAAATCTCCAAATAGCAACCCCTTTATGTATTTCTAATTTTTCTTTTTACGGCTCTTATAATAAGTCATCATTTGCCTTTTAAAACTCTAGTAATGACAAATAAAAATTATTTGAACTAATTCACTAAGATGTTTGAGGTCCTTCTCCAACAGCCTCGACACAAGAATTTTGATTCTATATACACTTTGTTGATGGATTATTCTTGGTATTGATGGGTCTATCCCGTGCTCCCAAAGCCAAAATCATTACCCAATTGATAAAGTTCAAACAAAAGGTCAAACTTAAATTTCAAATTCGCCTAAAGATTCTGCGAACCGATGGTAGTGGTGAATAAGATAACATAACCCTCTCCAGTTTCCTACAGGCTCATGGCATTATCCATTAAATCACATGTCCTCGTACGCCAGAACAAATGGTTTAGTTGAACGAAAACATCAATGCATTTTGGAAACCACTCGAGCCTTATTAGCCAACCCTTCTCCCTAACTCTATGTGGGTTGAAACACTACTCACTGTTATTTTCTCAATAAATTGAATGTCATCAAAAGTCATTGAAAACAAATCACCATACAATCACCTGCACAACTACACTCACCTCAAAATATATGATTGCGCATGTTTTCCCTAAATATTTCCCCTCCGCCAAAACGAGCTCCAACCACGCTCCAAGTTGTGCATCTTTAGAGTTATTCCATTTAAAGCAAAAGTTATCAGTACTTTAACTCAAATCGTTACATCCAAACAAATTATTTTCAGTAAAACCCCTCTTACAAAATTTCAACCAATCATTCAACAACAACAAATCCTACTCATGTTGCATCTTTATTGATACATGAGCTCCCGCACGGGATTCTTCCATCCCGGATTGAGAAAATCTTGTGAAACGAGCGGGATACAGAAAAAAATCCCATCATCGTATGACTATAGCGAGATTTTTCCCACCTGATGTCAATGTCAACCCCTAGTAGACATCTTTTTTAATATTTTTTTATCAGAATTAGAGTTTTTTTTACATGAGGAACTATTTATATGTTGTTACTTTCTAGTTTAAAATCTTTTTTTCTCAAATTTATATATTTTGGAGATTATGTTCTCTGATTTATGTTATAAGGAATATTGTATCATCTTCATTTTACAAGTGGTGTGTTCGTAACTTGTCAAGAATAGGTGGCAAACCTTCTCACCATCCATACAAGTCGTTTAGTGGTTCTCTTTGTTGTTTTTAGCCCAGACAGTTGTCAAGTGACTCTTATCTCCTTCCAAATATTGTTGACCTTACATAATATCATTTCCATTCTATTCCACAACCACCTACCTACTAGATCCACTTCTTAAACATCTTCTAGGAGCCATAAAACGATATCAACTAATTACACTAGTGCCAACCTTTGCAAATCCACTACAAACTACATTGCCTGTCACCCTCCCACACACCCAACAACTTCCCTTCCCATACAGGTTGCATTTCCTTATGTTTCCCCTCCATCATCCCAAGAATAGACTGCCACCCACCTAAACGCCCATCATCATTACATTCACCACCAAACCCAAAACCTACACACCCTTGGATTACCATATCCAAAATTGGCTCCCTAAAGATCAAAAGAATATTTGATTTCCTCCACACCCAAGCCCCCTCCAAATCGAGCCACCAATCTATGATCAAGTAGCAAAGTATGTTCATCAGCGTCAAGAAATAGCCCAAGTATTCCAAGCTCTATAAAGCCAAAGAACATGGGTACTTCCACCACACAATCAACATGTCCTCCGCAGCAAATGGACATATTAAATTAACGCAACAATTATGGCTTCACTACTCAATACAAAGATCGCCTGATGGCTCAAGGCTTTCAACAACAATATGATATTAACAACGTAGAAACATTTAACCTTGTTGCCAAAATACCCAATACACTCATATTTCTTACAATCACCCTCCATAATCAATAGCCAATTCTTCAATTGGACGTCTCTAAAACTTTTCTACATGACACCGCCATCAACAGTCTACATGCATCAAACCCCAACTCACCACAATTCACAATTTACCATCATATTTGTCTGTTCAAGAAGGCTTCTATGGCCACAAACTAGACCCATGACAATGGTTCAAGACCTTCTCCAATCACCTAATTGAGCTCAGCTTATACCTCAGCATTGTCAACACATCACTCTTCAAATATCAAAAA